CCCTCTAAGGAAAGTTTCTCTCCTTATGTGCAACCCTTCTAATGTTGGTACCATCTTAAATAGAAAGAGGTTGTCTCCTTGTTGTGTTTGGAATATGAAGAAATAAAGGTACTGGAAAACCACAGATTGAAACAATAAAAGATTTTCCCATAGTTTCAGAACAAGTGGTACTATTTAATCAAATATGTATTTAAAATTAAGGATGTTATTAAAAGTTGAAGGAAATTAATTTAGGTATTCTATTTAAATTACATGGAAAGTCCCAAACAGGGCTCAAAGGTAATGACCTCTATCATTAAATGCAAACTTCACAGAGTATAATTAAAAGTGAAGTGAATATTCTCAGAGATTCAAATTTTACAGCCAATATTACTGTGTAGCATTAAAAAATTCCACTGTGAGTGATCAGGTTTCATGGGGTCTTGCTCTCTGTAGCATGTTGCTATGTGAACACAGAGGAATTGTGTACACAGCATACCTTACAAATTTGTGAAAATAGCTAAGCCTGCTTTATGAATCTACACAAATCAGATCTTAATACCCAAACAAGTAAAACCAAATGACTATGGCTGAAAAGTATTATGGGGTGGAAGAGGAGATGTCTAGAGAGTCTACCAGAGTTAAAAAACATGGGGTGCAGAACTAGAAATATCTGAGAGAAATAAGAAAATGTCAACAGCACATAGACACAGCAGTGAAATATGATATGATTGGACACGTGCGCGTCAATGGGAGTGATGCTGGTATACAGTAATATCTGACAGTCTGAGCCAGACGTTCCAATGAAAGAGGGAGCAGTATTGGAGACAAGGGGCAGCCCTGTGTGAGAACTGAGGGGACATGCCTGGTCAGAACCCAAACTGTGGAGCTGTTAGGCACTGTTGCACACAGGCAAATATGTGTTGATACTTAGTGCAGATACTTAGTGATAAAGCAGTTAGGAGCCAAACCTGGAACATTGTAGAACACCCCAGCCTCTTTAGTCTTAGACATATTGATATTCTCAATCCAGAATTCTTGAAAGCAGTGGGAAAATGGTGATTAGATATACAGGACAAGAGGATCAAAACTAAATATTTTTTGTCTTAACTCATGGATTTAAACAATTTAAACACACTGAATAATTATGTTTTAATGGGACCCCTGGGACTGACTGATCTGCCAATTAGGAGCACGTATTCTTAACTGCAAGCTCGTTTTCAAACATTAGTGAATTAGATGAGAGAGTTGCGAAATAAATGTAACATGTCTTTATCAGCGCTAGTAAAGTAGAACTCTCCGTTTTTTAGACTCGCTCTCTGTCCTAGTCTGGCTGTGCTGCTCCTCTTTTCCAAACTGCAGGTGGTGGAGGGAGTCAAACCATTAACCACAGTGTTTCTTAAGTCGGTAGTATTACAAATGTTTGTTCCTTCTGAAGTCGTGGGAATTCCCAGAGTTGGATTTAAAAGTAAACTACGCTAAAAAAGGACTTGAGTGATCAAAAGCTTTTCTGGAATAGCAGTTTGGTTACAGCTTGCAAGTGAATAGTACAGGAAGATATTTTGTAGGACCTGGACTGTTTTCTTTTTAATGACTGTGGTTAAACAGGGTTCTGTGTTTTTGGTATTATTCTGAAATTATAAAACTAACATTTGAAACTTTGCTTAAAGTTTCACCTGTGTCGAAAAGTTGTTCTTTAGTGCACAGTCTTCTCATGAAAATATCACATTGAAAACTGTTCAAATTATGAAGATGCAATCTACTTTCAATCTGGTTTTACATGAGAATGTTAAATACTAAGATGTTTCAATTCATACCAGTCACACATTTACAATATGGTAAAAGTTTAAGATTTAAGATTTTATTGGAATGCATTGATAATAACAGATTTACAAAGGAGAGCAGTGTCTACAGTGCTGAATTATAGAAAAATAAAAATTGCAAGAATCGTGCAAAGGATGATCCATTTTGTTATTGTAAAACATTCATAGTCAAGCTAAGTCATACTGTATAATGTTATATAGTTAATTAAACTTATTTTTACTATTATGTTTCTTTAGTGCACAGTATTTCAATTAATTCCATCTGTATGCTGTTACTGCTTCAAAATAAACATAATCATCTTTAAGGGCCCCAGAAGTTTCAGGCAGCCACAAAAGCATGAACAATTCTCATTCTCATACAGCTGTGTGAACGGTAATTTGTACAAAACTGCTTCAGCCTGCAGAAAAAGGCTCTTATTGCATAATAAAAAGAAACATATTTCGTGGAAATTTCTAGATTATACTTCACCTTTGACCTCTGTATTAAGACATAAGCTTTTTTCATAAAAAACAGACCCTTTTCACAGAATTTGCTATTTTATTCCTTTTCTTCCTTAAACGTAAGGTCACCGGCAGGATAAATTAAATGATGGTCCTGTTGAACCAGCACATTTTTAAATCATGGAAAATTACTGATAAGTTTCAAATAATACATTAATTCACCTATCTGCATGGTTTTGGTCTGTAGGAGGAAACTGGAGGACCTGGAGGAAACCCACACAAACACGGGGAGAACATATAAACTTCACATAGGTAGCACCCCAGGAAGTGAACCTAGGGCCCCAGTTCTGTGAGGCAACAATGCTAACCATTGTGCAATATCTGGGACTGATACTTTGATACCAGCCTATGTTTATTAATGATCTCTGCCGGATTCCTTGAATTTTTCAGTGTGTTGTGATGTCAATGGCTGGCATGTTACTGTAGTTGTGCCACAGAACAGCTGTCATGAGTTAGGAAACTGTGGTGTTGTTTATATTAAGTTGTTCTACGTTGCCGTAAAATATGAAACAATTTGATTTTCTGCCAAATTGTGTTAGAAATTAATCTCATAGATCATAGATCCTATGAAGGATGACAATATGCTTGTTTAACATAATTTTTGTTTTTAATTTAAGATGAAACATATCCCTCAGTCCAGTTTCTGAATGATAAAATGTCTGCAGCTGTAGAAAGGAAGGGATCACTCTCTCATATTTTTAAATGTCCTGTCATTAGATTTCATGAGTTCTGTGAGTATTTTCACGGCCCACTATTAAATATAGCAACAACTAAAAAACTTCAGGAATAATAATTAAAAAAATGTATATGAACTTTAAGATGTTTAACATTTGCAAACTTTCCCCTAACGAATTGACCATGGTGCTGTCTTACTGTATCATGGCTCCGTCAGACCTACAGTACATTACCATTCCAATTGATCTGAAAGGTATCTTTTTGTGCCAGAGGAATTAAATGAGCACCAAAGTGCTTTCAGTTCTATTGTAATAACTGAAAGTGCTACATGATGATTTGGAAAACTACTGATGTTACCATAAAATATTATGCCTTTTTTCTCTTGGGGCATTTCTTATCCTTTCACCACCATCTTCATAATACCACAGGAGTTCAGTGCCTAAGACTTTGTAGGCTGTGCAGGGCGATTTTTTTCATTTGTTTGTCTTACAGCACAGAAAAGTGAGGGATTATAAAAATGCCTTCGGCTAGAAGCTCTTTCATTATGATCCTAGAAGGGGAAGATTTTAATGTCAAGTACTGAAGTAGCTAATTCGTAATGGAGATAGAGTGTCAAGATGCTGGTTGTGAGCAGCTGACATGGTATATAAGGTTTCATGCTCCTAGTATTCATTTTCATCATGCGATTTGGATCTTGTGGCACCAGGTGGGCTGTGTGTGGTGGCTGTTCAGAGAATGTGGACACCTCTGTCTTTCCTGGGACCCACCCAGTGTGTCTAAGCCTTGGGGCAGTGTTATGAGATCTGAACATTTCCAATGTTGCAGAAATTAATTACTTGTGTTCCTCTGAGTCTGAGGGTAGAGCATATTTAAACAACACAGTCACGCAAACCCAGTTACACACAAACACACATGCCACTGTTTAAAAGTCTTACACATTTTGCATTGTTCTACTCTGAGATTTTTTCCTTCTTAATAAACACAATTCTCTAGCGATCTTCTACAAAATTTGTTCCTATTTTATTTTAAATGAACAACTATTCTTAATCAGCCTTTATTTTGTATTATATATAAAAAGTATCCTTCCAGCTTTATGGATGAGTAAAGAGGAGCAGGTGATATTAATGAACTCTTGGCAATGAGCCAGTTTTGATTGGTGTATCTAAGAAATTGACTATATTTTGCATCAGCTGATTATTAGTCATTGATCATAATGAAATCATGTTCAATAGCATTTCTGAAAAAGAAAGCATACAGTCAGAGGATCTTATCTATACTAAGGGCTACTCAAGGACCCATCTTGAAAGAAGTGGAAGTCAGTGTGGCTGTGGTTATCATAATGCCTGCTCAGACCTGGACACGTCCACCTCTGTACTGATCCTGGCAATGGAATTATACCACTAACATACTGGGTGACAGATACACACTGGTTAGAATAGCTTGTCATAACCTCTCATTTAAAAACAAAAATGTATGTGAATTCCACAGAAAATATGCAGTAAGAATTCAGAAAATATATGAAGATAATTAATTCAGAAAATCATACAAAAGACTGTTCCAAAATGTCTAAATACAGTTTATAAAGTGCTTGAACTGGATTTTGAAAACGACAGTGAGTTAGTATCTTATAGTGCAGAAATAAATTAGAGATACATGATAAATTAGCCAGGTCAGATTATGTATTTCAAATGTATGATCTGTCACGACATTGTTTGTAAAATATTACATTATTTATATATACAGTAACCTATTTTCAAAGCCCTCCTTGTATTTGTGAAACTAACATTTCTGTCTTCCAGGCCACAGTATTCTGGTCGTATTTTTTCTTTGTATTTTTCCTTCACTTAGTGAAAACTCAGAGCCAATTTGGAGCTCACTCTGACTGTTGCCCTTGTGTTTTTTGGAGTGGGATCGGGAGATGTCTGAGTCACCCAGCTAACACAATGTGTGCCACTGTGTACAAGGAGGCAGCGTTGTCCCACAGGCACTGGCGGGCTCACAGGTGTCGCTTGCTATGCGCAGGCTCGCCGAAGCCACAGTCGGTGCGGGGGTGCAGAGCCTCTCCCTCTCTGACTCCCACCTGGCGGAGCTGGACGGGGACACGCTGAGGCTCTTCGGACCCGGGGCGCTGGAGGCCCTGGAGCGTGGCTGGGGGGTGCAGACCGCTGGCGCCGTCACGGCCATCGCCTTCCGCTACATCGACTTCGACACCATCGTGCCCACCCTGCCGCGGATCCGTGTCAAGTTTCCCAACGTCAGGGTGAGTGGACAGCGGCGCCTGGGAAACGTGAGGCAGGAATGTGTCCTTGCTTGCACACTCAACCATAACTGGATTTCAAACTAGAGCCCTGTCTGTAGAATGGCAGGCTCCTGCAATAGTGGAGTTACTGTCCAATCACTGCTGTTAGATTCTCTAGTCTTTCTCTAGTCAGCCAGCAGCCATATCTCTCTGCAACTCACAGCTGGCAGCCCACTGAAGCTCAGCAGGTGTGAGCCTGGTCAGTACCTGGATGAGAGACCTCCTGGGAAAAACTAAGGTTGCTGCTGGAAGAGGTGTTAGTGGGGCCAGCAGGGGGCGCTCACCCCGCGGTCCATGTGGGTCCTAATGCCCCAGTATAGTGATGAGGACACTATACTGTAAACAGGTGCTGTCCTTCAGATGAGACGTAAAACCGAAGTCCTGACTCTCTGCAGTCATTAAAAATCCCAGGGTGTTTCTCGAAAAGAGTAGGGGTGTAATTCCGGCATTCTGGCCAAATTTCATCATATCACAATCCACCCAGCTCCCTTTGGAAACAAAGCGTCTGCTGAAAGAATTTAGGTTTCAAGTATAAGTCATTCTTTAATAGAACAAAAACTATATAGAAAAGTGTAGAGGTGTAACCCCAGCATCGTGGCCAAATTCCCATCGGCCCTTACCAGTCATGGCCTCCTAATAATCCCCATCTACAAATTGGCTTCATTACTCTGCTCTCCTCCCCACTCTCCCCACTCCCCACTCTCATCCCCACTGAGAGCTGATGTGTGGTGAACGTGCTTTGAGTGGAGTGTCCAGAAAAGCGCTATATAAGTGTAAGCAATTATTATTATTATTATTCTCCTTGTAGCACTTGATCTTCTCAAACAGCAACATTAGCCGGCTGCCTCAGCTGGCCGCGCTGGCCCAGGTCAGGAGGCTGGACCAGCTGACTGTCCACCCCGAAGGCAATCCGGTGGTCAGCCTGGGGCTCTGGAGGTCCTTTGCCATCTACCGGCTCAACCACTTCAACCTACAGAGGATCAATGGCCTGGAGGTACAGTGCATTGCCGTACAGACAATCCCGTTAGAGTATATAGTACTTTTTCTATTACAGTTCTGTCAAATAAAGAAAACTAAAGTCAAAACACAGTACTAATACAAAGAGCATCTAATGTAAAATTCTGTAAACAAGTATCTTCTGAGAAAACAATAATTATACATTCAAATTATATGGTAGCCATTACTCTGCTGTCTCCCTGCCCTTGATGTTGACGCAGCATTTCTGTTGATAGGTGACCATGAATGATGTTATAACAGCAGAGAGGCTGTTTGGTACCTTGGGCCACATTGCAGCGACTGAGACTCCACACTATCGCCTGCTTCTGCTCCTTGAAGAATCCAGGTAAAAAAGCAGAGTCTGCAACTGGTCTTTCTCCATACACAATCATAGCTTCATACAGTATACTGTATACACTCAATCGCATGTTGAAGGTGTAAGAAGGAAATAAGGAAGATTCTTACCTAATCCAAAACAATCATCAATCATGCAATCATGCAAAAATGTAAAGAGTATGCAGTTTTTTCCTTTATGCAGCCTTGATTGTTGAGGCTGGCTAACGGAATTGCAGGTTAAACAAAACAAGCCATAATGAAGACACAGTCTTATTATCAGACTGTGTGGATGCAATAACAGATATCCTGTGTTTAAGATGACCTCATATTCTCTCAGGTGTCAGTTTGTCATCTCCATGTGCCTGTGAATCATCACACTCCCACGAGAGGGCGGGGGACCCTTGTCAGCAGTGAGATGTGCCACTCACAATAATACAGTTTTGTTTAGAGCAGTGAGTACTCTGTCTTGTATAACAGTCAGCCTCCCCCTCTGGGCTGGACTTCATTCATATGGCCAAATGTCACTTCAGTCAAATACATTAAAGCTAAAAACATTCTAAACATGTTCAGTACAGGGATTGTCAACTTAATCTCAAATTGCATCCAACTTTTATTGAGGCTTTCTAAAGAGATATACTGTATGCTACCATAAATGTGGATTGAGAAAGTGCTGTTTTCCTAGTCTGTGTTGTTCTAGCAGAAGAACAAAATGCAACAAATTGTGCAGATTTTTGGTTCTAAAAAGATTCAAGCACTATGATGGGAATCTGAGCTGTTATAGCCCAAAATAAGCTTTTATGTGAGCAAAATTATGTGCCAAAATGAATGTATTATAAGGTTTTCCTACAGAGCATTAATATGATATACAGTAATAGTTTGGTTTTGAGAGCACTGCTGACAGATCTTTAAATCTGAAAGACCCTTCAAGAATAACTTTTCAACATAGTGGCTTCTTTGTATCATCTTAAATTAGATATTATATGTAATTGCATGAGATAAAAAGAGCTTAAAAGCAGATTGTCTACCTTAACATCATGTGAAGACTGGTATTACGACCCATCCTTATGCTGTATACCTCTAGCTCTTGGAAACTAGCCTTGTTGTTCCGCATGTACAGTGTCTCCCTGGTTATACTGTTAGGAATTATACACAGCTGCCACTCTCCAACACCTCTGCCTAGTATTCTAGGATTTCACATTTATTTCGGTGATTACACAAATCGATCATACAAAGCAGTCAAGACAGTAACATCTCTGTTATAAAGTGCATAGCTGAAATTCTGTCAGGGATGGCCACATGCTGGACACAAATCCTGATCAAACACTGGTTTTGTTATTTGTCTCTAAATGGGAATTTTTTTTTTTGTCTTTTACAAGAAAACCTGATGAGTACTGTATATTCAGCCCAGCAAATTGCCAGGCACTATTAGCTTAATTATTCAACAATCTCATCATGCGTTTCTTCAACGATCACACAGTGTCCACTTGAAGTCCACATGAATCTTGGCAGGTTTTCTTCTCATGACCGTACATATACAGAAGAGTGCTCTGTTTCTGTCTCTTTATTTCCACTTGTGGCCCACAATCATTGTATTGTAGCTGAACGTATTTTAAATTAGTACTGTGGCATTGTGTAATTTTAATATTATTCTTGTTCCACAGTCTTAAGGCTAATGTTAAAGCTATTCATTATGACTAAATTTAATTAATGCAGTATATAAATTAGTTCAGACACATTTAATTCAGTTTATTAAAACATGCACATCATTTAAAAAATGTTGTGTGTGGTGATTTTGTGTCTGGATGGAGAAGCTGATTCCCAGACTGTGCATGAATGCTGGGCAGGTGTCAGCCCTACCATGAAATTATGCCAACATCTGTTCTTTTTGTGAAATTACGTATTTGTGTTTGTGTTGTTAAAAGACAGTCATTTTATTGATTTCAGTCAGAATTTACTTTCTTACCTTTTAACAACACAGAGTGCCTATCATGAACAGCTTGTGGGTGTTTGCTGTCACGGTGTACTATTTAAAAATACTTTTCAGTCCTGTGCTGGTACAATACTTTTCAACCAGCTGTGCTGGCAGCTGGTTCTCTGCACCTTGTAGACTGCATATGGAAACCCACATGGTCGCATGCCTCACCAATCTGGCTGGGAGGAAAAGGATGTGTCTGTTCTGCAGCTTAGTCAAGGGGAATCCCAGCTCCCCTGGGACACAGGGACTTGGGAAATTGGGAATCTTCAGCGTGAGGGACACTGAGGTGTCTGTGAGGGTGCTTGACATGACAAGTGCTATTAATAAGAAAAACAGAACATAACACTATTGTGAGATATGCAAGATGACATTACAACACCTTAAGGCAGCCCTTGCCTGTTTACACTTATAAAGACCAAGAAATATCATATAGATTCAACTAAAAGAAGCATTGAACCACAGTTTAATAAAAATAGAATGACCGGAAGGATGCACAATCAGAGATTCCCGAACCAATCGAATGTCACTTGACACACAGGCACTGCTCCACAGCAGATTTGATGTGTTACGATAATTGTTTTTAAACTTTTGTGAATGTATAATTATTTTTAATATATGTCAATAAATTACATATTTTCTTGTTTCAGATGTTATACTGAAATTACAAGTGAAACTTTGTTTTAAAACATTTAATTGAAATAATTTCTGCATGTTTAAAACCCAGTAAACGGCAATTATCAACAGTTAGTCTTTGCAGCATGATGGCAGTGAAATGACATGTTTGGGAAATATCTTGGCTCTGACAGAGCGTGCCAGATGAGGATGATGGGAGGGCCCATCCGCTCTCCTTCCAGCCTGTGTGGAGACAGGCCTCTGCCACTTCCAGCGTGTGTGAAGTTAAATTCAAAACATATCATGGCTCTGAAGTCACAAGTATCGTGCGTTGAGGTACTATAATTACTGATTGAAAAGCTAACTATATCACAAAGGAATTATCAGAAAATGCAAGTGTGCATTAAAGGTGTTTGAAGTGCTTCAAAGCTTCATTAAGAAAGTGGAACAGCAAAAAACAAACCATTTTAAACACAAGTAGTACAGTAGAATCCTGGCCATGTCTGTCATTCTTGTATTCTAGTCTGCAGGATTAAGAAGGTATTGGCTTGGTTACAGGCTCCTGAATAGTATAGGAGGAATGAAAATGATGCATCTAAAGAATTTGCAGAATTGGACAACACAACCAAGTTCATTGTCTCCAGGGAATTTCAAAGGCTGGATGCCAGTCAGCCCATCGGACTCTGGCTTATACTGTACCAAGGAGAAATCTGCTCTCTTTGGCTGCTGGAAACAGAATTTGCTCTCACTCTGGGAGCTTGGCACCCAGACTTGTGAACCAGAGAGTTCACACAACAAGAAGGAAAAAGGAAGGGCTGTCTTAATTCTTGTCAGATAGATGCATGTTTGTGTAAAGGGCTCAAACCTTGCAAAATATCTGTGATGGAAATATTTTTGCCTGATTCATGAAAAATATGTCCAAAAAAGAACAGACCACAGAACTACCAGTACAAAGTGCAGCAACAGCACTAAGTGAGTTTTTTACAACTTTAGACAAACCTTATATGCTGAGGAGGGTAGTTGTTATTCTTTTACTTGGAAATTCATGGCACACTTCGCTCATATTTTAGACGTTAAGAAAACAATATCTACAGGTATGATGATTTTTTTATGTTTGCACATTGAATAGTTGGCTCCTCCATTTTAATATATATTTTAAAACCATAAAATATGCTGAATCTTTATAAAATACTTTTAATAATGTAATCAGGGTAAATCAATGTCTGAAAAAAGCATTATCTTTATTTCCCTGTAGAAAACCGAAGTAGACTTTAGTCCAACTATAGCTAATAAATCTGTCTTTGTGTACTTAAATGAAAACTACTACAGTACTGAGACTTGATTTGAAGATATGCTTCAAGGTAGAAGACCTTTGTCAAGGCTTTTCTTAAAATATATATTAATATAAATACATTGCAATGTATGTTTTGTGATGTTTATAGGATTTTCACTTGCAAAAAGCAGTGGAAGCCTTCCATGCACCGTGTCTGTGTGCTCACTCACTGTACAGCACAGTACGTGTGTGATTCGAATTGAATTGGGCTGTTCTAGCTCCCAAGCTATAGGGTGATGTCTTTCTCTAATGTGATGCATGCGTTTAGTAAAACATAAAAAATGCTAATAGTTCAACACACAAAATATGGCAGAAATTACACTTTGCTAATCCCTTTCTGAATGCAGCCAGGCGTGTTTCTGTGTAAAGCACACCGATCCGAGAAAGTCAGGTGTTGTAACCAATCTGTGTTATTACAATGCACTATTGTAAACCCTCTGAGTGCAGATGCTGCTCCCAGAACATGATCTTAATTCTTTCCATACTTGAACAAGCTGATGTGGATTGCTGGAGCATGAGGAATTACAATTGATTTTTTTTTAAATGAGAATAAAGATTTGGCTATGACTAATATTATTTCCAAAATTACTGTAAGGCCGGATGTATTAAATATAAAACTCAAATTATTTTAAAACCTACTTCTCTGCCTTACGATATTGAACAGCTTTAGGAGGGCAGTGGCCTCTTTGCCTGGGTGCAGCTTGGCTGCCTGGTTGTGCGTTTCAGGCGATGAGTGGGACACGAAGGGTCCCAGGTCCCTGACAGGGGGTGGGATCACCCCAGGAACAATATTCCAATGGAGAAGCCACAGCTACTTGCAAAGCCCACTTTCTCAAGTGCTAGAGAAAGAAAAGATTGCCAATCCAAAACCAAATTATCTTCATGCTTATGCAGGAATAACCTCACTGCATGGCATATATTGTGAGAAAAAACTGCTTTTCTACTCAATCATGATTAAAAAATAGTTTGTTTCTTTAAAGTTATCCTCGTTATTTTTTTTAAAATTTTGTTAACATTGAAAATAAATGCATAATATTCTCAGCATATGGTAAAAATCTGAACATGATAATGATATCAATGATATTGTTAG